GTGCGCATAAGTTTTATCTTGGATTTTGTTATTTTTTTTGTTGGCTAACTTTCTACACGCTCGCCGTAATTTTAGTTAAGGATAACGTGCTTGGTGCGCGGAACAGTGAGTAACGTTTTTTGTGTGTGATAAAAGTGATATCGTGAGAGCAGCGAGGCCGGCACCGGTGCACGTGGGTAACGCGAGGTTTTGTGCGCGCGTGCAGACATTTTTCTCTTGGCGGTGAGCAGCATTTTTTGTGGTCTGAACAGGGAGCACGACACAACCTAAGCACATACTCAACAGTCACAGCCAACACACACACACACCAGAATATTAGCAACATTCAATAACAACCGCAACGCTAGTAACAGCAAAAACATTAACAGCAATAATAACAGCAACAACATTAACAGTATTAACAACAGCAACAACATTAACAGCATTAACAACAGCAACAACACCACTAAAACTTAAGAAACAAGAACAAGAAAAAATCAAGGAATATATTTTAACAAAGGAATTTTGTATCGCCGTAGAATCAATCAGCATCAGCAGAGGTCAAAGGGAATGGAGCCACATATCAACAGCGCGAGGCAAGGTCGGTGCTGTGTTTTTCTCTCTCTCTCTGTCCGAGGTGCTGATCGTGTGCTACGTAGCTCGGCTGCTCTGCCAGCTACGAAGTCGTCTATTGACTTTGTTCGGGCGTTATTATTTCTTTCTTTTGTATTCGAATGTACCTTCTTTTTTATATCTTTTTCTCGATTAAACAAACAGCGGTTCGGTGAGCAGCCCTGCAGCTAATCCGCTGTGCGTTTGCTTTTGTGAGTTTAATGTAACGGCGGCATTATTTTATTGTTCAAAATAAGTTTTTTTATTTTATTATTAAAGTTGTTGTTCAATTCAGATTTTTTCTTGTGATAATTGTACCTGGAATCATTCCTGATCTCGTGAAAGTTCGTTTCCGTATGATTAATGCTTTCGCTCGACGCATTATTAAGTCGTGGGAACGTTTTCTTTTGCTTCCCGAATCCCCCTTTATTAAATAAATAATTTATACGGACAGTCGCGAGCTACCTGGAAAGGGACGACTGGATTTCACCGTTATACATTATTTTCATATTTTCTGAAATTTGAAAAAGTAATTCTTTCATGATTTTAAGATCATCAGTTTTCCTGACTAATACAAAATCTTCTCTATAGGAATGTAATAACTAATATCATCATACATTGTTTAGTGTGATTTAAAAATCTATTGAACATAAAAATTTCATACATTAATATTTTAAAAGAAGAAATAAAATAATTCTATCATATAGTTCGAATTAGGAGCGTACTTATTTTATATCTGAAATAATAAAATTTTAAGGATAGTTCACATTTCAATGTAAATAATTAAAGCTTAAATTTGATAATATACAGGGTGACCCATTTTAATCAATGGACCCAAATGGCTTCTAAACCACGACATCTGCAAAAAAATGTTTCAGACAAAAGTTGGTCAAGACAAAGGGGGCCATTTGACGGTACCATTAGTTTTGACCTTGAAGTTAATTTTGAAGGTCATTTCAAGGTCAAGATGGTTTTTTCAAATAGGAACCCCTATTTTTGAGTGCGGGTTTGGAAAGAGCGGAAAATTTTAAATCAAAATTGTCTTATGCAAAAATTTTTTTTGTGACCTTGGAAAGGTCCAAAATGAAGGTCAAATGTCTGAAAAAACTATTATTCGTACTTTTTCTAAAATGACGTGGTTTTCTTCGTAATATTACCGTTCATAATGCTTGTGAAAGATCAAGAAATTCTAAGGGTGTTAATTACTTTGATTAGCTTGACCTTGGCATCAATTTTCAAGGTTATTTGAAGGTTATAATGCATTTTTTATTGGTAAACCATATTTTTGACTGCAGTCCCTGTTTTATGATATTAGGTTCTAAAAGAATGTTACTTCTTACATGATGACAGAGATTTCTTAGTTTTTTAACCTAATCTTAAGAAGGTCATATCAAGGTCAGTTTAGGAATCTATGTTTGATTGCTGATTCTTCTTCAGACATGAGTGGCTTTTTGTAGTACAAGGAAAGCAAAACAAAAGTACTTTTATCTTACTTTTAGCATTACCCGGAAACAACGACGTGGACGTAGTAAGTTCTGTTTATCGTGAGCCCCCTTGCCTCTCACGTCGGGGTGCTAGATTATCGTGAGTCCCCTTGCCTCTCACGTCGGGGTGCCAGATTATCGTGAGTCCCCTTGCCTCTCGCGTTGGGGTGCTAGATTATCGTGAGTCCTCTTGCCTCTCACAATGGCTGCGGTTAACCACGGATAAATTGTTCAAAGTTTTCTCCGTTGGCTTGAAGACACATGCGTACACGTCTTTCAAAACTGCCCACAGTCCTGAGCAATGTTTCTCGAGGAATGGCTGCGCAAGCTGTACGGATTCGTTCCATCATATCCTCCCTCGAGGTTGGCCGTTGTGCAAAAACAACATTTTTCACGAACCCCCACAAGAAAAAGTCGGGTAACGTGAGATCCAGCGAAGAAGCAGGCCATTCAATTGGTCCTCCTCGTCCAATCCACCTGCCATCATAACGATTATTTAAAAAGTCCTGTACAATACGTGCAAAATAAGGCGCAGCACCATCTTGTTGAAGCCACATTCTTTGTCGCGTTGCCAAGTCAACATTTTCCAAGAGACCGGGTAAATGGTCCCTTATCAACGCTAAGTAGCTATGCCTGTCAACATTTTGATCAAAAAAGTAAGGTCCAATAAGATATCCGTTTACGATTCCGCACCAGACCATGAGACTCCATCGATTTTGATGGTCTACAGCTCTAAACCAGTAAGGATTTTCGTGTGACCAATAGTGACAGTTATGTCTGTTCAGCTGCCCGTCGCTATAAAACTTAGCTTCGTCGGAGAAAAGTAAGTATCGAAAAAATAGAGATCATTTTGTATGGTTTGCAAAGCCCATTGGCAGAAATTAATTCGCGCTAAAATATGACGCGGCTGTAAGGCTTGCGTTAGAGTGATGTGGTAAGCGTGATAATTTAAATATCTTAAGATTCTCGAAACTGTACTTTGCGGTATACCCGTTTCTCTTTCAATCTGTCGAGTACTAATGTGCGGATCTAAGTGGACAGCTGCGAGAATTGTTAAGGTTCGAACATCATTATCTTTATAATCATGATGACGGCGTTGGCGAACAAGGTGCCCTTCGCGAGCTTTTTCAGTTAAGGTTCTTATTGTCATATCAGAAGGGTGTCTTCTATTTGGAAAGCGTACAGCATAAAGTCTTGATGCAGCGGCGAAATTGTTGTGACATTCTCCTAAAATTAATATCATATCAACAATTTGTGTTGGTGGATAATCAGCCATATTACGAAATTTCTTCCGGATCAAGTACAAGAAGTGTGAATAATGATTTAATAACGAGGTAGATTTCAAGGAATAAATAAAATATTACAAATAAATCAATGGCTAACATAAGCTCAATTTTTTTCAATAATACAATTAAAAGTAATTGAAAAATGATAGTACCACGATAAATTTCGCCCTCTAATGAAAATCGGTCAATCTCTGAGCTTTAATATCTCGGAGACAAAAAATAAAATTTCAAGTACGTTTTAAATCTTGAGTCAGATCCTTCAATCAGTTATTATTTTAATTCGTAATTAAAAAGAAATTGTATCAATAAGCTAGGACCATTCTGTGTTAGATCTTATACATATTTATTGATACAACAATATCAAAAATAAATCTAACAGTGGTGAAAGCAGTACGAGCGTCAGACTAGGGATTAAGCGATTTTCGAGTGCATTTTGAAGAAACTTGAAACAAAAATTAGCTAGACCAGGTACTGTACTCTGAAAAAAATTCTGAAAACGAAAGGGAACTTCAAACAATTAATCCGTGGCTAATCGAACGTGAGAGGAAAGGGGAATCGAGATAATCTAGCACTCCGACGTGAGAGGCAAGGGGACTCACGATAATCTAGCACCCCGACGTGAGTGGCAAGGGGACTCACGATAATCTAGCACCCGAAAGGAAACAGAACTTACTACGTCCACGTCTTTGTTTCCGGGTAACGCTAAAAGTAAGATAAAAGAACTTTTGTTTTGCTTTTCTTGTATTACAAAAAGCCACTCATGTCTGAAGAAGAATCAACAAACAAACAAAGGTTCCTAAATTTACCTTGATATGATCTTCTTAAAGTTAGGTTAAAAAACTAAGAAATCTCTGTCATCATGTAAGAAGTTACATTCTTTTAGAACCTAATATCATAAAACAGGGAGTGCAGTCAAAAATATGGTTTACCAATAAAAAATGCGTTATAACCTTCAAATAACCTTGAAAATTGATGCCAAGGTCAAGCTAATCAAAGTAATTAACACCCTTAGAATTTATTGATCTTTCACAAGCATTATGAACGGTAATATTACCAAGAAAACCACGTCATTTTAGAAAAAGTACGAATAATCGTTTTTTCAGACATTTGACCTTCATTTTTGACCTTCTCAAGGTCACAAAAACAATTTTTGAATAAGACAATTTTGATTTAAAATTTTCTGCTCTTCCCAAACCCGCACTCAAAAATAGGGGTTCCCATTTGAAAAAACCATCTTGACCTTGAAATGACCTTCAAAATTAACTTCAAGGTCAAAACTAATGGTACCGTCAAATGGCCCCATTTGTCCTGACCAACTTTTGTCTGAAACATTTTTTTGCAGATGTCGTGGTTTAGAATCAATTCGGGTCCATAGATTAAAATGGGTCACCCTGTACATTAAATCGACTATAATAAGACTTGAATACTAATTTGACCTATAAATAACACATATTGTAGAATTTCTACAAATTTTATTTGAGCAGCCGTGTTAATAGAAATTATATTCATCAAAACTCAAATACAATATAACTCAACTGAAGACGATAAACCCATTGTGAATTATAAGTTTTAAGAACAACAATCATAGTATACAGTATGTCTTGTTGTTTCAGTATAATAAAAGTGATTAGATGTTTACCTGAACGATTATTCACTATTATACAGTCATTGCCAAGTAAAAGTATATCTGTCAAATGCATGCTGCGCCTGGCAACTCCAAGAAGAAGATGATCACCTGCATGAGCTCTGAGTAAAGCAACTTGGTCATCTAAAGTCAATGTTCCAAAGATAGGTATGTATTTAGCCCATTCTACAAGAATAAGGAGCTGTTGTTTCATACTGTCACATACATCATCAATACTTGCAAGTTTTTTTTTACTAAAATCGATATCATCATGAATGCTACCACACTGTAATGACAATTTAATCATAAAACACGTGTCTCAAGAAAATTATATTAATTTCTTATCATAACCATAACATCATCCATTAAGAATAATTTTACTGATAATTTATTTTATAATACATTCTCTCATTCTAAAACATTATCTCAACATTAAAAAAAATATTCAGAATGAAATTCAAAAAATCCATAAAAATCATTTCTATTATCACTAACACTTATTTAGGTCCTTTTGGATTTTTTAATGAAATATATTTACATAACAAATTTCTCAGTGTTGTAATGGAAAATTTTGAAAGTTTGAAAATTTTGATCGAAAATCTCGCGCTATAGTTTATATAGTTTATATAGCTCTGTTATAACTTGTCTCCCCGACTTATTTAAAAAAGCGCCAGACTGCTTTGGTTTCAGCAGTCATTGAGGAATCGAGTAAGAAACGCGAGAAAGTTCGTGAGTATTTATCGACTTCGACAAACATCGAGTTTTCATTTCCAAACCGGGTAAGTGGACGTTACCCAAATTTGCCCATGGTTTACTGAATGAAGGAGTTGGTTTGGCCGAATCTAGCTCTTTTCGGCAACTCCTTTCCCAGGGCAGGCTATGAGTAAATTTGAGCAAAATCGGTAATTAATTAACGATGGTTAATTAAAAGATGTTTTATTTCGTGATTATGGCGAGCACAAATCAAGTTAGTCGGAATTTCTAGATCTAAATTGGAAATAATAAAATATCAGTTAAAATTTCAAATTCAATCTGAGGTCAAAAACCGCAATATTTCGCGGCTGAAAATAAAATACAGTATGCAAAGGAAAGATTTACGGCTCTCGTCACAAAATAAATCTGATTAATTTCTACTCTTTATTTAACTTCTATATATTAGATTATACTCAAATGATGGTAAAAGGTCAAAGCGGTGAATTCCCTGTTCCCAGCAAGTCGGTGATTATTGTAGATGGATATACGCGTTCCGAATAGTAGAAATTAATAATGTTCCGAATAGTAGAAATTAATAATGTTCCGAATAGTAGAAATTAATAATGTTCCGAAAATTAGAAGAATTATAAACAATCACATTATAATTAAACTGCCATCATTTGCTAGGCTATGAATTTTTTTAAGAGAAGATTGGATATCTACAGTTTTATGACAATATTTTATCTACATGTAAAAAAATATCAGGTAAAGAAAAGTAAAAATTTTTTTTTTCGGAATAAAATCTAAAAAAATTCTGTTGCATTCTACTTCGATTAACAAACATTTTCTTTTAATGAAATATGTTTTTATCTTTCAAATTTACTTTAATACTTCACATTTTTTCTAGCAAAAACTCAATTACTTGCATTGTATTCGACGAGTTTGAATTTACAATGAACATGGAATGCTACAATGAATTTAGATAGCGCTTGGAAAAAGCTAAAAAATGAGGTATTTTAAATTTTGCTGCGATTCATCCTAATGGATTGAAGTTTGCAAATGGTCTAAATCACTAAGCCAACCGAAGTATAAATTTCTTGAAAATTTCTTGAATCTATCTAAAGAATGCCATACTTATTTTTCACGGAGCATGAAGACATTCTACCGTCAGATAAAACCAGAGAAAATTCAATTATGTTGTTGGATGATATTGTATGTAAGAAGCAGGATAATGTAAAAGCTTTTTTCTGCATGGGTAGATATAAAAGTGCAGATTGTTTTTACTTGTGTCAGTCGAATACATAAGTCGTACCCATAAGTATACTTAGTTTGTGAAAACGTTAATTTTTCGTCAAGATGATATGAATTTAAGGCGTGTTTATAATGTTCAGGTGAACACTATGTCGTACCAAAGTTTCAAAGATAATTGTTCAACTTGTTGGAAAGATGACTATAGTTTTCTGGTGAACTAATCCAAAAATTGAAAGATTGTAGCTGGCAGATATAAAAAGGAGTTCGATAAGTTTATTATAAATACAAACCATTCAATACAAAACTGCTCGTCACAAATTATTTTTAGGGTGAGGAAGTGAGGTAATATCGCTTTAAGTAATTGAGAGAGGATTAGAGAAAAGAAAGGGAAAATAAAAATGTTACACTCGTTAATTACAGAGTTCTTATTCGTATATCTACGTATTTCACTTAACCTACCGTATAAATGAAAGCCGGACAATTAGTCAGCTAATTAACTGGCGTGATATCGTCACGGCAACGACATGAATACTGGCAATAGAGAATCGTCGCAATAGTTGGTGGGCGGACGCCTTACTATTACGGTACCTTTGTATGGCACGACTGTTACGTTTGAGAGAGAGAGAGAGAGAGAGAGAGAGAAATCTCTGTAAGCGCATTTGACCTTAGTTCTGCAACAGAATTCCTCGGTGAGCGAGAAATGGTAGGCTACCTTTTCTTAAAGACGCGTCGTCGCCTTCCTGGTGAGCAGCTTCCTCCGGGACTTCTTCTTGCTGATCAACTCCTTGAAATCGTCGCTCCACACTTGCTTCATTCTTCTCGCTCCTCGTGCTCAACTGCTGCTTCTGACAACCTCCACTGACCTACCCTGGAACCTGACTGACTTTCGCTCTCGCTCAGTCGCTCACTCTTTCTTTTTCAAAAAAATGCTCGTCGCATCCCCAGTTGACCTAATTTTACGGCGGCTCGTGACGCCGCTAATCGGTCGTGCGCTTGCCGTGAACCGTTGCCCAATACCGGCACTTAATCTCTTATCTCTCTCTCTCTTTCTTCGCTCTTTTCTTTTCTTGCTCGTTGTCGCCCTCTCTTGCCTCTCTCTCAGCTCATTGATCATTATTGGTTGCTGAAAGGAAACAAATCGCATTAGGCGCATTCTTAAAACGCGTCAGTTGCTGGGTTAGCCAAGAGTAGAAGAAGAGGAGAGAACGGCGTACGATACAACGTGTCGTCGCCAGCTCCCATCACAAGGCTACTAAAGTAAAACTTTAAAAATTGTTAAAACTTGGAAAACAATTTGTCGATGAGATTCACACGAGTTCGATTGAACTATTTACATAGATCATTCGATATTCGTGATATTTATGAAACATAACAAATTGATCTGGATGAAATGATCCCTTATGAAAAAGAAAATAAACATTTCAATTAGATATTATGTGCTATCGACACTTTTTCTAATTTTATTGGTGCGCGAAAATAAAATTATATCTGGAAAATTACTGGTATTATTCGCGAATCTTGGCAATTTAGATTACAGCCTTTATGTGCTACATCTCTATACTTTTTTGTCAAATGACAATGATCACGAACTTTCGTTGAATCATTAACAGGTTTCTCATATATATGATACATATTTGTTGTTTTGAAGGCATCAATTTCTTCTGATGACAAATAATCCATTGCTTTTGAATTATCAAATATTTTTTTGACCTGAAAAGTTATGGTTTTTAACCGTTCACCAAACCACTTCGATGGTACTGATCCATTATAAGAATTATACCTTGAAAAACTCTGAATTTAACTACAGCTGAGATAGTAGCCTATACTTTATGTTGTTCACATGCAACAGTATTATTGTCAGAGTCTTGCTGTGCAACAAATACTCTTTTCAATAGACATTCACAATCTGCATAAATTATAAACGATTATTTGAATTTAAAATGATAATTCTTGAACTCAATTACATCGTTGTTGACTTTTGCCATTTGCGCACGTTACTAATTCAACTGTTTACAATTTTTTCGTAGTCAACAATCTTATTTAATGTAGTGAAGTAGTGAGGACATCGATCGCGGATATATTTTTATTTTTATTTCATGATTAGCTGCTTCCTATTAATTTTTCAAGATGCTTTACGGAAATCAGTGATAATTATTAATATGACGTTGAGTCGGTGAAAAATCATCACAAATCAACAATAGATTTACATAATTTATTTATCTTTTATTGTTTGTATTGATATATGAGAACTTATTATTTCTCTTTTAATCCAAACAAATAGAATAATATCGTGTTGTTTAATTTTTGAAATCGAGATATTTGTTTTAAAGACCTTGAAAATTTAATATATTTAAATATTATATAATTTACAGGTATGTACGGTGTAATGCCTCTGCATAACAATGTAATGCTGATAAAATTGCCCAGATGAAATACTCATTATCATCATTTTTCACATTGATACATGCATGTCTATTTCGTAGCAATCTAGGCAATGGTATGTAAGAGCTTCTACTACGCATTGGATTGAATTTATTAATGTTAATTTAAACATTAATAATAGACTTCAAAGACCATCCCGACTCTTTCCTCTCAAATTCTTCTATATCCTTTAATAACGGAGTCGTAATATTATAATTAACCTACATATCAAATAGCTTCTTAGCTCTCGCCTAAGCGTTATACAGAAAAAGGGTAGAAGACGGTACCCTCGTTACGTTCAGATGCCAGTACGCGCGTACAAGCGTGGTCACTGTCTCAGGCACTGTCCAGGCTCTAGTCACGAAGGGAGAGGAGGCGATGAGTAGCTACGCTGATGCGGCGGATAGTTTCTTTTTCGTCGATGTACTCGAAAAAAAATGGTGTAAACGTCCAAAGTGATGACGATGCGCGTAAGATTGCTCAACTTGCCGCAAAATGCGTGGTGTGCGCGATCACCTGGTCAAACCTATTCTTCTGCTGTGTCGCTCATACGAGCCGCGGAAGGCCAGTCGCGCGCGTCCGTTACGCACGTCGCGACTTACTAGATATCTCTCTTTTTCTTCCTCTCACACGACTTACCGAGATCGGCTGCCTCCTCTCTCATGCTGTTATCAGTTACGCTAGTAGCTAAAGGTATTGTACAATTATATATATGTATATGACGTGTCGTGGAGAGAAAGACATAATGAGGGCTAATCGCGCTCGTTACATGCCCCTCCCCCAGCCACCAGGTAGCTTGGGCGTACCGGTGCGAAACCTTAATCTCTCTCCAAGGCTTTTACATAAGTGCAAAGTGAGGAAGAAAGGAAAGAGGAGAAAATGAATAAACACTTTAATAAATGATTATAATATGTAAGCCCA